TTGATATCTCTTATTTTTATAGGTTTTAGTATCCTATTTTTGTTCATATTGATTAGTTAGATTGCATATTAGGTGCATTTATTACATTTGCATTGCATAATTTCATTTAACAGGGTTTAAATTGCACAATGGGAAGTTTATGGCAAAAATCAAGGGTCAAGCTGCACGTTTCAAGACTTTGGGGGCCATAATGAAATAAATCAAGAGTCGGGGGACTATTCTGCAAACACGGAAGGGCCAAGTTGCACCGTTATAAAATATTGTGGTTTAATTCAAGAAGTTATCTCGCCAAATCCTAAAGTCTTGGGTCAATTAGAGAAGCATCAAAACGTTATGGGGCCGAAGTGCAAAACATCGAAACCTTGAGGACCTATTGCGCAAATACCTAGAACTCCACCATTGTTGTTCTTCGTTCTCCCTCCGTGAATGGAATACGGCGAACCCGACGGCGACGATGAGCACAGCCACGATCTGAGTATGACACGGGCGACGAGCACGACACTGATGAGACGAGCTGGACCTAAGAGCGTGAGAAGGAGGCGTTCACGGGGGCTAAGGGTTCAGTCAACGGCGAGCCAGAACGAGCCGCGAAGGAGAAGATGGACGGAGGAGATTTGTCGTGGCTGATGATGCTGCTGACCGGGAAACGAACTCAACCACCACCACAAGCTAAGGCAGAGACGAGGCCATCACTGGAGAGGATTAAGAGCTTGACTCCGCCGCAGATTAACCTTCGCGGGAAGAAGCCAGCCGCGACCTAGTGTCGAGAATTCAACAGGGACGATTCGCAGGGAGCACCGCGGAAGATCGAGCCCGCGAAAACTCACTCAAGACACGAGCATACGTCGCGGGCACACGACGCGGGGAAGATTGGCCGCGGTGGTTCAGATATTTTACAAAGTCAAGATGTTGACCGGTTTATTCCGGTTTGACCCGGTTTAATTCAATTGAACCATGACGAATTTGGACCTCCTATATATAGTTTTAGACCCCAAAAACCCTAAAGTATCTCATTTTCTCTCAAGAACTTGTTTCTAATTGTAAAAGCTTGAACCTTTTTATCATTTTAAGGAAGTATTTCATCTTATATCTTGTTTCTCATTCTCATTAACATGATTAGCCTTGAATCCATCATGGATTTAAGGTTTCTCATGGAGATTAGAGAGTAGACACTTTTAGAATTCATGGGTTAGGTAGATTTAAGGTGATTAAGTGTAGATCTAAGTGTTTCCTTGCTAGTTGAGTGTGTTTAATGCTATTCTAGACTTGATCATTCTAGGATTGAACCTTAGTCATTTTCTGCCCACAAGGTGTATGTTTAAATGACTGAACCAACTCTCCTTAGCTTTAAGACTACCTAGCCAATGACCATTTGTATCTAGGGGTTTTAGATAGTTATTAAACTTAATCTTAATGATTGCTTGAATTAATTAAGCCAATGACCATTTGTGTTTGATTAATGAAAGCAAATGA